GGTGCGTGCCGCCCCGCTCCTGCCGGGCGAGAGTCCGGGCCGGGTTTTGCGCCGCGTCTCCGGGCTCGGCTCACGGCCTCCAGCCGCCGCCGCTGCCGTGTTTACTGAGCTCGCGCGTCCTGATATCACTCCGCTGGCATGGAGGAGGAGGAGGAGGTGGAGGGGCGCGAGGAGGAGGAGGAGGCGGCGGCGGCGGCGAGCAGTTGATCATTGTGATGGTGGCAGGAGCAGCGGCGGCAGCGGCAGCCCAGCCGAGCGTTAGGGGCTGCTCTCCGCGCGGCGTTTTGCAAAGGACTTCACCGATCTACTTTTGCAGTCGCCTCGGACTGTCCATGTGTTTACTTCCCCCAGCCCGAGGATTCGATATCTAGGCTCCTGTGAAATGCAACTGAGCAGCCAAAGTACTTTGAGAACACGGGGCGGCATAAACACCAAAACTTTTTTGTGGAAGGAAAATGCAATAAGCAGGCTTGCCGTTTTCCGATGCGGCGTGGAGTGAGTGTGTGTCGCGCCTGTCCGCACTGGAGGCATATGCTTGTGTGTGTCCATGGGGTGGGTTTTTCGGTACGTAGGGAGAAAATGCTTGCCAACCACCGGAAATCTCCTGGAATTTATTAGAAAATAATGGATTATAAAAAGAAGGCAGGCGACGAGCGGATCGCCCCTTGAGTTGCAACCCGATTTGCTGCTGGCTCAGTTTGTTGTGATTCTTTTTGTTGATAGGTGTCTGATGGCATTCTGATAACACCCCCCCTTTCTTTCCCCCCTCGAGCTTTACAGTTTTAAAAAAAGGAAACAAAAACCACCCCAAAATCTCTCCCCCCCTTGTTTTTTTTCGCCCCGTCGGGATCGCTGTTTCCATCCATGTGCTTGCGTCTCCCCCGCGTTCCACTTAAACTATTTTAATCCTTGGACCCAAGGAGGAGGCTGATAGGGAGGGTGGATAAAAAAAGTTCTTCCAAAATAGTGTGCCCGGGGAGCAGGATGGGGGATTTCGCAGCCCCCGCTGCTGCCGCGAATGGCAGTAGTATTTGCATCAACAGTAGCCTGAACAGCAGCCTCGGCGGGGCCGGGATCGGCGTGAATAATACTCCCAATAGTACTCCCGCTGCTCCGAGTAGCAATCACCCCGCTGCCGGCTGCGGCGGCGGCGGCTCCGGGGGCCCCGGCTCGGCGGCGGTCCCCAAGCACAGCACCGTGGTGGAGCGGCTCCGCCAGCGCATCGAGGGCTGCCGGCGGCACCACGTCAACTGCGAGAACAGGTACCAGCAGGCTCAGGTGGAGCAGCTGGAGCTGGAGCGCCGGGACACCGTGAGCCTCTACCAGCGGACCCTGGAGCAGAGGGCCAAGAAATCGGGCGCCGTCGCGGGCAAGCAGCAGCACCAGAGCAAACCCCAGCAAGATGCGGAGGCTGCCTCGGCGGAGCAGAGGAACCACACGCTGATCATGGTGAGGGCGCGCTGGCGCGGGCCCGGGGCGCGCGTGGGGGGGGGGCGCGTGGGGCTTCCCACCGGGGCCGGGGGTCTGATTTGCACCTCGGGAGAGGTGGGCTGAAGCCCGAGGAGGAACGTCAACTTTTCCGCGGGCAAAGCTGCCGTCGCCTCTCCCTGTGCATCTGTCAGGGTTGTCAGATGGGGGAAGAGGGGCGAGAGGGGAGAAGCCAGTCACGACTGCGCGAGGCGGGGGGAGCCTGGAGCGGCGCCGGAGTGCGGCGCCGGAAAAGTTTTTCCCCTCTCCCCCTTTCTGAGATACCGATTTGAAAGCGAGTGAACCCGGAGTTGAAAGCTTGCTCCTCCTCTTCACCGCTCCCCTCTCCACCCCACCCCTCGCCGGGCCGCCGCGCCTCCCCAGACCCGTCCCCCTGCGCCCACCATCTCGGCTCCGCCGCCGGGAGCTCGGAGCGGCGGCTGCTCCCAGAGGTGGGGGCGGGCGTCCAGCCCACCACCCTCTGCGGGGGAAGCGGGAGGACCAGGCCTCCTCTTCGGGCTCGCTCCCCCTGGGCTGAGAAAGTCTGAGAGTTTTGTGAATGAACTTTCGAGTGGGAGAGAAGCGAGCAGGCTGGCTGCGCGCGCGGGTGCGCGGGCGCGCGCGCGGG